GGTGCTGGAAAAACTGGCTCTCTACATGCCAAAAACTAAAACTTGACCCAAGGTCTATCACTATGCACTAAGCTAAAGTCAAAATTAATTAAAAATGTAAACATTAAAACAGAAATACTCAATCTCCTGGAAGAGAAATTAGGAGGAACACTGAACACGTAGGGGTAGGCAAAGAGTTCATGAACAAAAATCAAACCACACAGGTAACAGTTGAAAGAATTAACTACTGGGACCTCCTCTTATTGAGAAGTTTTTGCACAACAAAAGAAATTACCAACAAAATGAAAAGACAACCCACAAATTTGGAAAAATATTAACTGATAAGCACTCAGATAAAGGTCTTCTCGCTAGAATTTATAAAGAACCAAAAAAAATTAGGGTCCCAAAATGTAAAGACCCAATCCAGAAATGGGTATCCAAGATTAATACAAACGTCACAGAGGTTGAATTTACAGAAGTGAAAAAATATATGAAAAAATGCTCGACATCACTAGCCATCTGTGAAATACAAATTAAAACAACACTAAGATACCATCTCACCCAAGAAAGAATGACTATCATAAACAAATCAACTAACAACAAATGTTGGAGAGGCTGTGGGGGAAAAGGCAACCTTCTCCACTGTTGGTGGGAATGGAGACTGGTGCAACTATTATGGAAATCAGTGTGGAGACTCCTTACTAAACGGGGACTGGAAATCCCATTCAAACCAGCTATCCCCCTACGGGGAAATTTCCCAGATGAACTGAAAATGTCATATCATAGAGATATATGTATAACTATGTTTATAGCAAAACAATTTGTGATAGACAAATCTTGGAAACAACCAAGATGGCTGTCACCTGAGAAATGGATGAAAAATATGTAGTATTTTCATACAATGGAACATTACTCAGCTATATAAAATGAAAAACTAGAAGCCTTCATATTTAAGTGGATGCCAGTTGAAGATATACTCATAAGTGAAGTAAATCAGTCCTACATGTGTAAATGTCACATAGTCTGCCTAGTATAAGAACTCAAAAGAAGAAATACAAATCGAAAGGTATAACACAATTAAATGAAAGTGAGAACTTGAGGATTAGACAACAAAGAGAGGACAATGAGAAAAGATAGGAAACATGAAAGGGGCAAAACCATACATTTATAAGCACAGATGGGTAAGTTAATGATCCTGAGAACTATCAGCAGGTTGTTGAAACTATCAGTTACTTGTTAGAGTTCTCAACCTGACTAAGTATATATGCTGATACCTGTGAACTAAGCAACTGCACTGAAGATGGCAACGTGTAATAGTAGGGTCATGCTTGGATTGCCTGTCATTCTGGTCTTCTATATATGTACTGCTTGTCATGTCATATCAGTTACTGATATACTGTCTCTAAAGTATATATTTGCTTTATTAACAAAGGGTAATAAATGAAAACAAGATACAAGAAAAAAAAAGTCTTAGGACTGTCCTGCTACAATTCTATATATGGTGAGATTTCTAAATTTCTGATTAAAAATATATAATTTTTATTCCTCATTTTTGATATTTTTTTCATCACATTCTGTAGGGATTTAGTGTTTTACATATCAATACTTGATGGAAAATACCTGTTCCATGTTATACCTAAGATGTTTGATATTCAGACAGATAGTGAAGTTAAGCTCAACTTCTTATGTTTTAGGGTAATAACATCATTAGGCTTCTCTTCTAGAGGGTTAACAACCTAAGTTTTCAGAACAAAAGTTTGAGAAAAAGAAAGCCTGCAAGGACAATCAACATCTTGCCCCTAGCCATTCAAGGTCAGTGCAGACTCAGAACATAAGAGAACCCGTACTGTAACATCATGTAACGCAGTGGTGTCCCAAATTTTCTAATCCAGGAGATTATGGGCCCACAGAGGAAAGTGATTGATGATATAGAATGTGTTTAAGGAGAGTTACATGGAGAGAAAATATTCTCTCAGTCCTCACAGAGAGCAAATTACTCAAGCAATGGCCATGACTCATCCACATGGCTGACACTGACAAAGGATCTACAAAAAGTGGCACAAGGTTTCTGGCTAAATCCTGAGGGGATTTGACTGACATTGTCAAATACGGAAGTTACATTTCTTGATATATAGGTCTTGCTTTATCTTGTTCTTAACCATCCAGCAGAAAAGCATAAAAACCAGGTATACAAAGTAAACCCATATTAATATGCTAATCTGTAAAAGGGTCAAGTCAACAACTTCTGACATTGCCTGTCCTACGGATAACTGTAGTCCACTGTTATTGTGGACTACTGGACTATATTGAATTATTTTGCTGAACTCACACACCTACAACATTTAAATGGCAATGGAGTACCCATCTCTGACAAAACTAAACAATAAAAAGGAATATAAATGAAGGACCATGTTGTTTCTCTATATACAAAATAGGATACATAAACAGCTACTTGTGTTTCATTGAATGAGAAGAAAGATTTGTACTAATAGTGTTTTGACAAAATATCATGTCTGCATCTTTTACTATGAATAACCACTGCGAAGACAATATGTCATGTATTAATTATTAAAACTGTCCTACTAAAAAAATAAAAATTAAAAAATTAAAAAACTGTCCTACTAATCAGTTTTGAAACTATCTCATTGCTGTAGTTTCTCAATAAAAATAATAAGTAATAAAAAGTAATAATTATAATAATAGAGGAAAGAAACATGGGGCCACAGAAGAATTGGATAAGTAGCTCACTCTACATTTTACGGGTTGGATTGGAGAAATGTGAGAGCGCTCAGTGCCCTGGACTACAGTGACAGCCATTTTTGTACTTCCCACTCCTCTCGTTGAGGACAGGACTAGGTCGTCCTACCAGAAACGTCCTTGAGTTCTCAGAAGAAGACTGAAGACAGGACTGATTGGTTCGTGGTACTGGCTCAGAACCACTTCTGTGCAGTGCCTGGCTGTGGTTGACAGACCACGCCCTGTACCTACTGGCTTTGCCAACCCAATGTCCCGCTGCAATCACACCCCCAAGAGAGAAGGAAACCAGCTCCTTAATGAGCCCTTGTTGATTAGAGACTCCAGGGGCCCTCGGCTTTGTTTTTTGAATCCTTCATTTGAGAACGTTCATTTACTTTCATAAGGATGATGGTCTGGAAGCTGCAAACTAGTGCACAGACCATTTCCAAGTGCTGAGAGCACACCGGGACCTGGTACTGGCGTGTATATGGTCCCACGCCTGGGGCCTCACATGGTCCAGACTCAGGTTTTCCTTGCTCTGAAAATTAACCATGGCTGAGCCTTCCCACACTCAGGCACCACAGACCCCGTAATATTTCCAGCAGTGGTGTGAAATGCCACCGCTGAACATGAGGAAGCTTAGAGAGAGATGCTAAGTTCAAGGCATCACGGGGAATGACAACCAGGCATTAGACTGAAATCTGCCAGCACCAAACTCAGGGGCATCCTATACAGCAGCCCTGAGAAAGCAAGAATGGCTCGAAAATTTCTTCCCATGGAGCAGCTGGTAGATTCAGTTGCTAAGGAAAAAAAGAAACCATGAAGGGGAAAGTTTAGCACAGGAAACCCGCACAGGGGCAGGAAGTGAGTCAGCTCTGCTGCCCTGCGGCCCTGCCCTTCTCCTCCATGCTGATTCCCAGAACACTGCTCCACTGAGCTGCACAGGCAGGGCTCAGCGCATTTCTGCTCTTGACCACCTGCAGCAGGAACCTGCATCACCCCTGGAGCATTTGCAGGGCTGAGTGAGGATGGCCAAGGTGAGGATGACTGAGCCATGCAGATGGATGGGCTCGGGAGAGAAGAGGCCTGTGGGGAGGCTCTGAGATAAAGGACCAGACCTGGGCACTGTCGCCTAGAGGGGACCAACTTGGCAAGACATGCAGTCTATCTACTGCTGTGACATGCCCCTTGATGAGATGAATAAAAAGCAGAAAGATTCAAAAGCAAGGGAAAGTCCAACCTCAGACATCTGCCTGACCCAGACGCAGCCCTGGCAACGCAGAGAATGGCTGTGGGGTAGGCAGTTCCCATTCATGCGGGGTGGTGCTGTGACAACTCATGATGGGCAGAACCCAGTCCCAAAGTTCCCACGCATTTGTCAGTGGGGCCTGCGGAGCAGCACAGTCACATCTCCACAGAACCCGTGATCAGCAGCTGGAGAAGACATGATTCCCGCCCTGACAGCCCTGCTCTGCCTGGGTGAGAGGGGAACACAGGAGGGGACACCCTGGTCTGGGAGGGACCTCAACCCACAGCCAGACCCTGGCCCCTCCGGGAACCAGGGGCTCAGGAGACTGGTAGGAGATGATCTTCTCGGGTTCCAGCATGAACCTCTCACAGGGAACTCTCTTCCAGGGCTGAGTCTGGGACCCAGGGCCCAATTGCAGGCAGGTAAGTGTGGCCCCCACTGTCCCAGATCCTTCCACTACCTGGGGACAAGGGACCAAGCCTGAGTAGTAGGGATGGAGCACAACAGGTGTTATCTGGTTCTGGAAGGCCTGGAGGGCCCTGGGCTGAGATTTGGAATGTGAGGGGAGGAGGAAGGTCCTGGGACTCAGCTGTGATTTCCCTGCAGGGACCCTCCCCAAACCGCGGCTCTGGGCTGATCCAGGACCTGTGATGCCACTGAGGGAACCTGTGACTCTCTGGTGTGCATGGACTCTGGGGGCCCAGCAGTGCCATCTGTTTAAAGAGGGAAGCTCAGTGCCCTGGAGGAAAAAGACTTTAGAAATGCCCAAGAACACGGCCAAGTTCCACATCCCATCCATGACAGAGCATGATGCAGGACGATATCGCTGTGACTATCACAGCCCTGATGGCTGGTCAGAGCCCAGTGAGTCCCTGGAGCTGGTGGTGACAGGTGAGAAGACACTCAGGGGCCCTACTCCACACTGTCTCCTCAGGTAGGAGGTCTTCTCTCAAGGGTATACCCCTCTCACAGCCCAGCCCTGGGGACTGCATAGAAAATGTAAGTCCATTTCTCATACTGCCTCCTTCTTTCCTAGGAGTCCACAGCAAACCCATCCTCTTAGCCCTGCCCAGCCCTGTGGTGACGTCAGGAAGAACTGTCACCCTCCAGTGTGGATCCTGGGAAGAATTTGACAGGTTCATTCTGACTGAGGAAAGGGAAACCATGTTCTCCTGGGCACAGGACTCACAGAAAGGCCCCAGTGGGGAGATCCAGGCCCTGTTCCGTGTGGGTCCTGTGAACCCCAGCCACAGGTGGACCTTCAGATGCTATGGCTATGGCAGGAGCCAACCCCAGGTGTGGTCAGAGCCCAGTGACACCCTGGAGCTCCTGGTCCCAGGTGAGGGAGGGACAACCTGTCTTTCATGACTGAGGGCCTGACCCAGCTCCAAGGCTGTGGGGATGAGAGGAGCCAGGGATCCTGGGCTCAGTGACAGAGGAAGAGGGAGACAGCGATACCCAAGATAAAGGGATCTAGTGAGACAGAGAGAGGGAACATTAGATGGCGGGGAAGAAGAGCAACCTTTAAGTGTCTCCTCAGGTTCCCTCTGCTCCTTGTGGGTCAGAATGAATGACAGCTGCTCTGACCCACACAGGGCACAGTGCAGAACAGCCCTGACGCTTCCTCTCCCAATTCCCCACAGGGACCCTCGCTAAGGTCTCTTTCTGGGCTGAGCCATGCTGTGTGATCCCCCGGGGGAAGCCTGTGGCCCTCAGATGTGAGGGGACTCTGAAGGCCCAGGAGTACTATCTGGATAAAGAAGGGTGGCCAGCACCCTGGAACAGAAAGACTTTAGCTACACCGAAGAACAGGACCAAGTTCTCCATCCCATCCATGAGAGAAGATGATGCAGGGCTCTATCGCTGTTACTATCACAGCCCTGCTGGCTGGTCACAGCCCAGTGAGCTCCTGGAGCTGGTAGTGACAGGTGAGAGGACACTTGGTCACAGCCCCAGTCTCTGCTCCTAGGAAGGAGTCTGCTCTCAAGGGTGTCCCCCTCTCCCAGCCCAGCCCTGGGGACACTGAGAGGTGCAAGTCCATGTTATATGCTGCTTCCTTCTCACCTAGGATTCTATGGCAAACCCAGCCTCTCAGCCCTGCCCAGCCCTGTGGTGACCTCAGGAGGGAGTGTCACCCTCCTATGTGGGTCACAGCTGGGATATGACAAGTTCATTCTGACTAAGGAAGAAGGAAACAAATGCTCCTGGATGATGAACTCACAGCAACACCACAGTGAGAATTTCCAGTCTTTATTCACGGTGGGCCCCATAATTCCCAACCACAACTGGACGTTCAGATGCTACGGCTGTTACAGGAATGGATCCCAGGTGTGGTCAGAGCCCAGTGATGCCCTGGAGCTCCTAATCTCAGGTGAGAACGTCCTGTCTAATGCACTAGACTTTCACTCATCAAACACATTCACAGAGTGCAAATTCAGCAGACGCTAAGTTGACAGTGGGTCAGAGCCTCTCCTGAACCTGAAACTCCAAGTATGAGACAGGGAGACACACAGGGCAGGACAGGAGGGCAGGAGCATAGCAGGACCCAGGCCCTCAGCCTGGCTCCTCCTCCTCCAGGGCTGTCCAGAAAGCCCTCCCTCCTGACTCTGCAGGACCCTGTCCTGGCCCGTGGACAGATCCAAACACTCCAGAATCTCTCTGACCTCAGCTACAAGAGATTCACTCTGTCCAAGGAGGGGGCTGGAGACCTCCTCCAGTGCCCTGGTCATCAGTCTCAGGCTAGGGTCTCTCAGGTAGACTTCACCCTGCACCTTGGGAGCCACTTCCACATCGGCCTCTATGGATACTGCAGTGGACACAGCCTCTCCTCAGAGTGGTTGGCCCCCAGGGATCCCCTGGACATCCTGATCCTACATGAGGAGCCCAGTGCTCAGTGAGGGACCCAGATTCTACACAGGCCCTGCTGTGGAGCCCAGGAAGTGATGGCCAGAGTGAGAGTAGGTGTCAGGGAGGGAGAGAGGCAAGAGGCAGGGGAGGTCAGGAGGGGTGGAGTCGGAGGAGACAGAGATAGACAGAGTCCAAGGGTTCTCAGAGACAGCCCTGCTGAGACCTCATCTCAGAACAATGTGGGGTGGCCCCTCACCACCTTCCTTTTCACCAGGGCAGCTCTCTGCCACACAATCTCTCTCAGTCCATCTGGGACCTATGGTGTCCTAAGGAGAAAATGTGACCCCTGCTATGTCAGTCATGGATTCTGATGGACACTTTCCTTCTGTACAAAGAGGGAGCAGCCGATCCCACCTTGAGTCTCAGATCAGAGTCCCAAGCTCAGCAGTCCCAGGCAGAATTCTCCATGAGAGCCAAGAGCTCGGACTCAACTCCATGTCTGTTGTCATATCCCAGTGACCGTGTGGAGCTCATGGTCTCAGCACAGCTGTCCTGGACCCCATCAGTCTGGTTCTAAGTTTCCTTTGACACTGCTGCCAGGACAGTTATGCTGGGATTATAGTTAAACATATTCCACAGGGGGATGTAGCCTTCATAGAGAAGAGCCCAGCTGAGTCCCCTCAGGCATGGTCACCGCACCCCAACATTGGGCTGTCAGAGGTGTCGGGTGGGCAGTAGGAGGATAGTAGTGAGGGCACAGGACAGATGGAGGACAGCGCATGGATGCAGGCTCCCCGGAGGCAGCCCAGTCCCTCAGCTTCCCCTAGCCCATTCCCAGGATCCTCTGGGACCCCATCCCCCACCCTCAGCACCCAGCTCAACAGCAGGAGATCCCCGGCTCTGCCCAGTGTCCTGGTGCTGGCTGCGTGGAGACACTCAGCCCATCTCAGTCCTGGTTCCAGTCTTGGCTTCATTGGTGTCCAGGAATAGAGAATTGTGAAAGGAAGCTGAATCCCCAGGGCTCGGAATCCAGGCTGCATGGGGTGGGCTCAAAGCTGAGGGAGATGTTGCGCTCCAGCCTGGGGAGGAGCAGCAGCTTAAGTGGGGAGGGGGGAGCTCAGCCCCTCACCTCGCTACTCCTCCTAGGAGGCCCTGAGGATCAGCCCCTCACACCAGAGTCCGGACCCCGAGGTGTAGAGTGAGGGCACTGCCGCGAGGGGTCCGAGGCAGGGGCTGAGCTGTGTGGCTGGTGCAGCCTCCTCTGGAAATGCAAACTTAGACCAGCCCCTCATGGTGGGCTTCTGTGTCTCCCGGTGCAACGGGGAGACCCAGCCCAGACCTTCGAGTTGCTCTGATGCTGCCCTTGCTGTGAGCCCTGGGTAGGCAGCCTCCCAGGGAAGCCTCCATGACCCCACGCTGCAGGGGTCCTGTCCCTCTGTGCAGTGACATTGATAGTATAGATGGGGCCAGGCAGAGCAGCATCACTCAGATTCTTGCCTCACAGCTGAGGGAGCCCCAGATCTTCCGGGGAGAAAGAAGCTGGAAGTCAGACTGCCAGGGCACAACCCCACCCTGCCCCTTCATCTGTATTCTGCCCCATCTGAACACTGGGGCCATTTTCCCCTGAGGTTGTACTGCCCAGGTTCCCAACATGACTCCATGTACCACTGAGCCCACAAGGTCACTCTGTGCCCTGTCCCCACATGTGGATGCTGTCGGTGGTGAGGAGGTGCCGGGGGAGCACCCACCCATGTGGAGGCTGATTGATGCAGGCAGGAGCTCTTGCCCACACTCCCACCCTGCTGTTTGCCATGGAGTTAAGCGAAGCAGGGAGACACAAGAGGACACAGGTGAGAGCAGAGAACTGGGGCTGGACTGAGGGGGAGGACAGGGCCCAGCCCTTGCCCCTGAGGTCTCCACCTCAAAGCCTGGTCCTCTGCTGTCCCAGTGCCTCCACAACAGGCCCTGCAGCAAGGGCAGTGGAGACACTTTACCCTCACACACAGGAGTCCAGCACACTGCAATGCTGTTCGCAATTTTGAGGACAGGGCAGGTCTCCAGGGGAGCATGAAGGGGACATTAGGGAGCCCAGTGCCCTCCAGGGGCTCTGAGAAAGGGTGACCGTGCTAGAGGATGGTAGGTGTGTGAGGTTCAGGTAGGAAAAGGGCACTGGTGGGCAGAGAGCAGCCTCCTGAATTCAGGAGCCCACGCCCAGGGACCCTGGGTGCTGAGCTGGTGAGTCAGAGGAGCCCCTCCCCAGGGCATTCAGCTCACATCTTTGGTGGCCCTGATGCAACACAGAACATCCAAGGGCTTAGTTATTTCTGAACTCAGAAGCTCTTACCTTCAAACATCCTGGTCTCAGGTGCCATTTGCTTCAAAGTGACTCAGACACAAGGTCTGTACTCATGGAGTATGGGGAGCTTGAACGATCCCAGCAGGGCCTGAGGGAACTTGATACAGCAAGGAAAGGGCTCCATCAGGACCACACATAGCTACCTCAGGAGGAGCAGACACAGGACACAGAGCTCAGGCACAGCTCGGGTCTCTACGACACTACAGCTCATGATCTCTGTCCTTGGTGTGCAGGATGCACTGAGGCCATCGGCCCATCACAGAACCACTCAGCCCAAGATGGGAGAGGAATTCTTGGCTATGGGGCTGGAATCAGTGGGCCCATTCCCATCCAGGGAAAGCAGGTAGCTGGATGGACAGAAAGGTCCCTGGGATCCCTGCCATCTGTCCTGACCTCTGTGCCCTCTCTGTCCCTGCCCCAGCCCCACAGGCTCAGGACTACACTGTGGAGAATCTCATCCACATGTGCCTGGCTGGCCTGGTCCTTGTGGTCCTTGGGCTTCTGCTATTTGAGGCTCAGCACAACCAAAGGAGGACTCGAGATGCAACCAGGAAGTAAAGCCAGCAGACAGCAGTCCCTGGTTAGAGTGGTGAAGCCCTGGGAACAGCCCGATGGTCTCAACTTGTTACTGAAGAAAGCATGGTACAGAGCTCACTTCTGTTTAGCAGCTGTGCAGGAGGCCATTGCGGCCTGAGCATGGGGACTCGGCAGGTGTAACACAGAGATCTTTCCCCCCAGGGAACCGCAGCACTTCCCTCCCTACCTGCAGGCTCTGCTGAGGGCCACTGCTCTCTTCCCAGATCAACAGGTGGGGCTGCACCCCCCAGTCCAGGTTTGGGTCCCCCTTGTGCCCTTCGTGACCCTGCTCCACTTTGCAATGACATTTTCCTTAACTGTATTTACAACATTCTCCAGTGTGTATGTGTTAGATCCCATCCTTTTGGCTGACAATCCGGAGTTTTTTCAAACAACAGAAAATATGTGCAAAAATTAGAGTCAAATGTGGTAAAAACTAATACAAAATGATATCGTAACAGCCTTTCTGGGATCTGCAACCCAAGAGCCAAGATCAGATGATCTTTACAAAGTTTCTCATGAATGAATGAACAACGAAGTGGGCTCCCTACACTGATTTTTCACTGGGTCTTCCTAAGTTGTTACACTACCCAGTCCTGTTTGGAATTTAGGATCCTGCACTCAGCTTCCTATAGGACTCCAGTTACAGACACTTGCCACTTGCACTGGCCTGAAAAAAATCACTGTTTCTTGGTTAAACACTGTTTCTCAGATTTTCTCTATAGAATCTCCTGCTATCTCTGCACAGGGGCCCTTCTCTCTGTTCCCTTCCTGCCCTGTGCTCCCCCCTCTCCCGTGTGAGTGCAGCAGCCAGAACACCCAGGCAGGGCTGGAGCGGGCTGGGCAAGTGTCCCCCCGCCTGCCTCCTCGTTCCACTCAGGAAGATGCTGGTTTCTCATCAGGAAAAATGCTGCTAGCTTCTCTCTTCTTTTCTAGCACTGGGAGTTGAACTCAGGGCCATCACAGTGAGATGTATCCCCAGCTCTTCTTAAAGTTATTGAGACAGGATCTCACCAGGCCATTGAGTTGCCCAGACAGGCCTTGGACTTGAGATCTTTCTGACTCAGACTCCCCCCATGCTGTGATAATGGTATGAGCCACCGCATCTGGTATTTTTATCTGTATTCTTAATCAGATTAAGGATGTTCC